GCTAGTCAAATAAGTAAGAGTGACAATGTGCTTGTTTGTAACACTTTTAAATTTGGCATTACAATGACAAATTACCCTTTATCTGTCCTCTCAATTGATGTCAGAGCATCTTCTGCATCTGCCTATATTCACTCCAAGTACCAGATGAACTATCATCATGATGGATAAGGTTAATCGACGGTTCTACATTACATATATGTTATTCGCGGATTTATGAGATAATTTTAGATGTTGCAGCATAAAAACCTACTTATTTCAAATAGAGGAGGATATGTATTTATAATGTTGAGTGATTCCATCATATAGCCTTATAAAAGGCCATTTTCGGCATCGTATGCGAGGCTAATGTAGGTTTCTCTTACCCCTACGTAGCCAATTGGCAGAGGCTCGAGCCAAATAGACATTATAAAAGAATCGAAGGTATGAAGACCAATATGGTATGGCCTCTTGTGTAGTCGCAGTCTCCTTTCGTTCTATAGAGGTAGATTGACCTTGTTTTCGCAACTTGGTCATATTAGTAGGAAGACTTAGAGGAGCGCACCAAGTCTATTGTATGCATGATAATTTCCAAAGTCGGACCGCGGACGTTGTACATTCTCAAATGTTTCGCCGGCATCGTCAGTGAGTCTCGCCAATCTTAGCACCGCACAACAACTCGTCAAAGAGAAAAGTTAAGCCGATCCTTAGATCAAACGTGCACTAAACAGTTGTTGTATCTCCCCTTCTGGCCTGGGCTATTCACATTTCCTATATCCTCTTATTACGCCTTCAATGTTACAATTTTTACCGTGCTTATTTAGAGGTAGTGTGGTCTGCTCCCTTATAGGGAATTCATAAAAAACCCTTCACACTTCACGCTGTCGTTCTTACCCCCCCCCTTTCAACTTTGTGCTGGGAATGTTGATTAGTCTGCCATATTGTTACGCTGTCCTCCTTCCCTAGGCCTTAGCACAGTCCTTTTCTTGCCCCCAGGATTTGTCTGATATAACCCTGGTTCACGCATTTCACTCTATCCCTGCGACCCCATATGTGCTACTTGAGGCGTCCTTCGCCCTCCCCTGAGTCTGGGTGATAATTCGAGGCTAACGCTTCTGAGTAAGTCTTATCGTCGAGCCTTTACTAGATGGACCACTTCTCTGGTAAAACAGGCCTACTGTCAGCCAACCAGCTCCAGTCTTCACCGCGTCTATCCTGTTTCTATAGCTAATAAAAAGTCTATGACTTGCTATGCCTTAGTCTCTTGTGTGCAAACCCATAAACGTTGTCGTTCAAAATTGGACGTAATCAAATCAAGCAGTACCCCTACATTTGTGGATTAGCACATAAGAGCAAGTCAGAAACTTGGTATTACGGATACAAACAGGATAGACGCGACAGAGACTTTATTTAGTTATTTTGGTATTGGAGTAGAGTTTCGAGACTACCAGTAAATCAGTAATATGAGGTGTATTCACCCTATTTCGTCTAAAGTGATGAGGGACTTGTAGTAGAATTTTCCCACGATTATATGAGTTAAGCTGACGTTTTTATTGAATTTCACATAGCCTTGCTTTCCTAAAAGTTGTTCTCATCAAGGGTGGACTGCAGTTTCGACCTCTCATCGGTCTTATCAACACACTCAGCGGGAGTCGAACCGCGACAATGCAGGATGGGAGCTTGACACGCTAACCACTCGGCTACACTCCCACGAGTACCCTTGAGTCACAGGGCATAAGTGAATTTCAGGGAAGGTCAGGCCTTTTTGTATATCATATTCTATGGTGGGAGTGCCGATAAAGCAAGGCTATGTGAAATTCAATGGATTCGTCAGCTCCACTCATATCTTTGTGGGAAAATTCTAATACTATTCCCTTATTACCTTAGACGAAATAGGGTGAATACATCTTATATAACTTGATTTAGTTACTTGAGCTTAGTTTTCACCATAGACGTGGATCCTGTAGCATAGGCTTGATGATGAGAATTACTCACAGGCTTTAGCCTCGAATAGTCACCGATACGCAGGCGACGGCGAATAACGCCTCGAGTTACACATATAAAGTGGCAGGGATCGTGTGAAATACGTGAATCAGGGATATAGCCAACGGATCCTACGGGAAAAATGTGTGACTGTGATAAGACCTAGGGAAGAAGGACTGCTTAACAATATGTCAGATTCTGATAAACATTCCCATCACAAAGTTAAAGAGGAGTGATAACGTCAGCGGGGAGTGTGAAGGGTTTTCATGAATGCCACTCAAAAGAGCGCACTACACTAAATCCAAATATGCACGGTAAAAATTGTAACATTGAAGGCGCGATGGGAGGATATAGGAAATTTCAATGGCCCAGGGCAGAAGGGGAGTTACCACAACTGTTTAGCACACGTTTGGTCAAAGTATTGGCTTTACTTGTCTTTTTGACGAGTTGTTGTTTGGTGCAAGAATGGCGAAACTCATTGACGATGCCGGAGAAACGTCTAGGTATGTATCACGTCCACGGTCCGACTTTGGAAATTCTCATAAATACAATGGACTCAGGACTAGGTGCGTTCCTCTAAGTCGTCGTAACAACATGACCAAGTTGCGAAAACAAGGTCAAACAGCCGCGATAAAAGAATTTGGGGAAACTTTAATTTCGTATAAAAGTAAATGAAAAAGAGATTCGTAGGTCGATCTACTGCAGTCGTTTAGCTTTTATACGACGTTCAGGTTGGCGCAGTCCATGAAAATTTCTCCCTCGTTTTAGGTGTAAACGGGCTTAGCTTTCGTCCATCACAAGAGGATCATCGTCAGACCTGGGTCTCATTCCTGTAAAAGTCTCACTTTCATACGAAATTAAAGTCTCCCCAACACTGAGATTCATCGAGACCCAGTTTCTATTCGTATCTACGATAAACGAAGTTTGGACCTGCTTATTTGGGACTACCAAGCGTGGTTGTGGAGTCATTTCCATAATTATATGCTTCATTAACATAATGCAGACACTTGGCTTTTCACACTTTATTGAAGTGTGCGTCGTTGGGCCTGTCGATTTCGATCTCTAGTGTCGACAACTCAATTGGGCAATATTTGGGCAAACTACTCCCTGATTACTGAGGCATAGAGATTCCGCCAATAGTTGAGGTTACAAGAGTGGATCGAGACATTTAAGAACTTATTGCATCCCCTAGTAACATTTGGTTGTATATAGGCGCACACGAAATTCAAGCACTAAGGTAAAGCACTTAACCCCTTTAGCTTGATGTACATGGGATGATAAGTTATTATTTATATTGGCTTTGTCATACTTAACAATCCTCCTAACAAGTTTATCTCTTACAACCAGTTGCAGATACATAAGATATATCTGTGGATGAAGAATAATAAACTCGAGAGGTCTGAGCTAAATCGGTCTGAAACAGGAATTCATACCCACTCCCAGGTTTGAGCAAACTTCTGAGGCCATCTATTAATTCACATATAAAGCTTAAAACAATGGCAAGAATTATACTGGTACTAACTGGAAAACGTCCAAGTAAATCTCAAAAAAGAAGAGAAGCGGAGCTCTTAGAAAAATAAATACCCAGAGAGAAATTCTCACAAACGAAAAAGAATTTGGGCTTGAAAAGGGAGTGAGTTGATTCATGCTAAATGCTGATAGGTAGTGAAATTCAACTGAAGGCCGTACTCACTTTAACATTGCGCGCACTCAGAACAGAAAGGGGCTGCAAAAATTCTATAGTTTAGCCTTTTCACTATATTTTGGGGGTCGGATCTCAACTATCCCCCGGGTTATGCATCAGGATTGCTTCTTTATATACTGGGCAGGCTGTAAAGTTTTGATCGAGACTTGATAAACTTTTTACTAGAAACTTTTGTATTGTGAAGCAGATGTGCTACAAACAAAATGACTTTAAAAAAAATAGCAAAATATAATCAGCTGAAGTGAGGCCCTGTGAGGTTGCTTTCAGATAGCAAGATATGACTAGACCTCAAAACCAGAAAACTGCCAAAAAAGGTGGTTCATTCTTAAACATTAAATACCATAACCTAAGATCTGCAAGAAATTAACGATATATATGTCCTGTAAATGTGCCTTATTAAAACGGGATCTACACAGCTAACAACCCAAGGCTATAGGAATTAATATGAGATATATTCACCCAAGTTCATTTAGGGTGATAAAGGATTGGTAGCTGAATTTTCCCACAATGATATGAGTAGAGCTGGCGCTTTTAATGAATTTTCCATAGCCTCGATTTTCCTAAAGGTTTTCTCATCCAGGGTGGACTGTAGTCTCGATCTTGCCTAGGCCTTATCAACACCTCCAGCGGGACTCGAACCATGATAGTGTAGCGTGTAATCTCGACGCATAACCTACTACGTCACATTGCTACGAGTGACATTTGGTCACAGTGAGGATATGAATTTCAAGGAAGGCCAGGCATTTTCAGATAACTGATTTATTGGTAGTCTCTAAGCCCTACTTATAAACGGAAAAATACGTAATGCAATTGATTACTGTAGCAAATATAGCGTTGCCTGATAGTAAATCCCACCAAAGAATGTGAAATGGTAAAATGCCTGGTTAGCTGTTAAATTAACTGTAAGCTATGATTCCTCATCTAATTATAAGGCTATCTAAGTCTTCAAACGCCTTTCAAAAAAGTGGCTTTCTTACCTGAGCTAAATTTACTAGAAAATTTCTAACAATTAATAACTTTATTTTAGCTGCTTAAGTTCCTGCTTATCCCGGAGCTAAACTTGCATCTCTCTATTCTTTCTTCTGGTCCACGAACTCTTGTGTAATGATAAACTAACAACCCTCATCCGCTACCACCTCACGTGATATACTGAACTTCAGAAGAGCCTCATTGGTCACCCTGGTCGGGCTGGTCTCAATGTAGCCGAACTTGTGGCGTTGGGGCACAAATTCGCCGGCGTGTCTGCAATTCTTCACCCTCCTTATCTACTCCTCGAATATTATCTACCTTCTCAGCACCTTTGCATAGTCACATAGATAATCACCTTTTGATCCCGATGCCTACTCAAGAAAACAGCCACATTCCTTCGGCACAGCGTGGACAAGTAGATCCAAGCAGCCCACAACCGACCTCTGATTGGCATGAGCCCAAAAAGTCTCGATGTCGGAACCTACAACACGATTCTGAAGATAACTTACAACTAGGTGTCTCCCTAGAGCAAGAAACTGTAGCGGATGGGCTGAGCAGAGAAAGCGGAACTGATTGGAAAGAGGCAAGGCTGGTATCGGATGAAGTTCAATTGGAGACGAGGCAGTGCATGCTGAGAAGCAGTTGTGATTTCGGTAGGCGTTCTAAGTATTTGTTTGGAAGCCGCTTTAGTCTGCAAAGGATAACCTATTGGCCTTAAAGTGGAAAAGTTATCTGTAATATTGGCTATTGTGCCCGTCTTGTTATCATGAATAGTAAAGGATTAAAGTATATAACATTTATCACAGTGGAAAGTGTGGTCCTAATTATATCAGGAATTAAAACTAAGGCATCTAGTTTTCTACTCATCCTTATATACACTTTTATCCGAACTCTAGGCTTGCATATATACCAATTGGATCCTGGGTATCTCAGTAACGCAGAAGTTACTATCTCGTTTGGGCCAAAATTTTACAATGCAACCAAAAAAACCTTTTTTCTGAGCATATTTATAAGCTAAGTTAATCTTCAGATTAGTGTTTCGGTTTGTCTGCTTTTGGTTGTTGTAGCGACTTTTATTTCGTATGGAAGTACATAAAGAAGAGATTCTTAGACGAATCTTATCAGAAGACGCTGGCTGATTCGCGTTGTACTATAGCCGTTTTGCCCTAATCCTACTTTCAGGTTGATGCAATCTACCAGACATCCTCTCACGCTTCGAGCGAAGACGAGCTGAGTTTCTTTCATCATATGATGAACATCTTCAGAATAATCTATTTGACTTAGTGTTAATTTGAGGCCGTTGAAAGAATGAGTCCCAGCTATGAGGCTGTTCGTTATATGATGAAGGAATGCTCAGTCCGTCTTCGCTCGAACCCTTGGAGGATGTCTCGTAGACTGCATCAACCTGAACGCCGTATTAAGGCCAAACGGCTGCGGTACAATACGAATCACCTGGCGACTTCTGGTGAGACTGAACTACGAATCTCTTCATCGTGTACTTCCATAAGAAATGAAAGATTTAGCAACAATCTTTTCTCAGAAGAATCTTCGAAACCCGCATTTACATCGTCTATGTTCCCGGTTGCTTTGCGCTTCTTACTATATTGAGGCTAAGAAATCGTTGCCTAAACCAATTTTGGAGTGAATAGACGCATAAACAGATGCATTGATGTAAAACTCACGTTTGGATAAGAGTCATTCAGCAAATAATTGCTCCAAGATGCTTCACGTGCAAAATTGCTCCCAGTTAGAGCTATTTTTTTATCTTCCAAACTAATGTTTAAAGCAGATATGACCTTCTTTTATATCGAAGGCTGCTATACCCATATTTCACCTGTTTCAGGCGAAATGGGCTAGTTTGGCTTGGACGCTCAGATGAAGCAGAGTTGTTTAATAAAAGTTTACTTGGCCTTCTGTAAAATTCTAGAAAAATCGTTGCCTTAATTACGTTCTGAGCTTCCTATTCTACATATTTTTTATTACCCAAAAGGCTTTCTCCTCGAGATAAGGATGCTTTAAAGCGT